TATGTACTAACATACGTATTTACATGAATAAAGGGGGGATAAATCCTCCGGAAGGAAAGCCTCGTAATACATACATCGAAACAGAGAATCTTTGCGAATTTAAATATACATTTGAATGGAATTCTGAAACGAAAACAAATTCCGAATCTTGTATTTAATGAAAAGTTATTTTCAATAACCGGAATTCCCGTTCCGATACGTACTCATTTGTTTAATCATATTTATGCTCGTTACTAAATATTTATTGTGTCAATCTTATTAACAACATATTGAAAAACGACTGATTAATCCTCCATTTAATTTGTTCATTTCTTAATTCTGAAATGGGAATTTCGATATTAAAGAATTAATGGATTACAAAAAGATGTGGCCAAATGATTTTCGTGATGATTATTGTTGAGATTTTGATTGTTTGTTTTATATTTTCGATCGATTACGTTCTTATTTCTTTGAAATCGATAAATTTCAAGTTATTATTATGTCATGAGATTTTATCGATTTTAGGAATTTTAAACAAAATTATTGTTTGGATAAATTAATTATAAATTTTCATCAATTCTTGTAAAGAATTTTTTTCCTAAAAATAAGTCAATTACCAAAAAGAATTTAACGAACAATTCTTATTAAATTTATAAAAGAATTTTGTAAATATTGAAATAGTATTAAAGCGATAAATACTTTATAAACATGATTATTATTATTATTATTTTAACGATAAACTGATCTAGGAAAATTCGTCTGTCAAATAATCGGGAATAATTATTCTGTTAAATGACATTTCCAATGAAGTTATTGATGTACATTTAGAGGTGTAAATATCGGAGTTTTAATCAAATATGAGTTTTAATCCGATAGGCGTCCAGTAACAACTCGTGATTTGACTTTACTGGTGTTATTTCACGGCATTAAAGGAAAAATAAAGTTGTGGTGCGGTAGAAATAGTTAAAAGTGGTATTTGCTGAAAATTATTTGCAAATATTATATCCGGTAATAATATTATAAGGGGAGTGCATTTTTATTTAGATGAACTGTACTATTAAAACAAGTTTGATCAAAAATTTGCAGGCAAATTTGCCTGTGAATCCGTTAAAGGGATAGCCTCTAATTTTTGGCCCCTTAACCTCAAGTATTGACAATAAAAATTATATGGAGTTCGACATCGCTGGTGCGATTTATAATAATTGTTTATTTTTTACATAATAAAATGGTACAATATTAATATACATTTAAACAAATATAAAAAGGTAAACAACAAATTTATATTCTATAGTATTTGCAAATTGTAAATCAAACAAGAGTGCTAAAGAAGTAATTAATTAGTCTTGCAATAAAAGATATTTTGTCAATTATGTATGACAAAAAGCAACATAAAGTAAAACCATAAAAATTTTGTTTATTTTAATTGGATATTTGTTTGCTATTGTCAAAATTATGAATGACTTAATAGCATTGTAAAATAGAATATCCAATAAATTTTTTTTTAAAAAAAATAAATAAATAATTTTTTTCGTAACACTTAAATAACTCTGTTAAATATCTATATATACTTTTTTTTTTTGTAATTTTAGATATCAGATAATATCTAACCAATTTTTCTTCCATAAACACGAACCTGATTAAAGTAACTATCATATTCAGCTAATTCTTTTCTTGCTTCTTCAATAAGCCTATCATATTCATCATCAGTAACATTCATAAAGCCCGATAGAAGAGGTTTCCAACAAATAAACATCGAAATAGTATTGCTAACAGCCTAATTATATATCCAAAAATAAGTAATATTTATTACAAAATTTATAAAAGAAAAAAGAATGCATTACCGCTTTGCTAATTCCAGAAGAGTCAGCTCTTTCACCATGGTAGCAAGCTCTTACTTCTTTTGTAATGTTTTCTAACACTCCTAATTAAGAGAATATATGATTGTCAATAATTTAACTTAGAAATATAATGTCAATATAATGTCTATATGATGTTAATAAATGAAATAATAAAAATGAAACCTTGATTTTCCAGATATCCTTGTAGTTTAATGCTTGCTTCTGGATCAGTACCTCGGTTCCCCATTGCAGCAATTTCTTTAATAATAATTGTGCAGAATGTTGCACAAAATATTAGCATACACATAAAACGAAATTAAATCCATGATGAACAACGATTAGAGTACATACGAGCATTAACAATGCGTTGAGTAGCAGGACCTATATCTATCATCATTGAAGGTTCCAACAACTTTTTTAATATACACGAAAATTATTAATAAAAAATTAAGAATTTATACAATACTAAATAACGGTACTAAATAGAATTAAGGTTTGAATAAGTATACCTCTACATATCCACCTGGCTTTAAAACTCTGACCAACTCATTAATAATAAATGGCCATTTTTCTTTAGGATATCCACCAAACATATATCGTTGAAACACATAATCAAATGTATTATCATCAAATGGTAAGCCATCCAAGACATTTGCTTTAATGAAAGTGAAATTTGAAGGTTTAATTTGAGTTGGTTGTTGTACTGTTATATCTAAACCAACAATATTAGCATTGGGATAACTAAAAAATAAGATAATTATGATAAGTATGTCATTTAATGTGGATATAACGATAATTATATATATACAATCAAATATATATAATATGGTCTATAAAACACTATACGTACGTAGTACACATTTCGAATGACCATGATGCTGAACCACACCTAAATATATAACAAATATTATTAGATTTAATAAACTATTAAGTGATAATCTCTATAGCCAGGCTACAGGATTATTGAGATCATATCATAAGTCATCATAAGTTATTATAAACCATTACGGTCGTAATTTTTGAAAACCTTAAAGTTTAATTCCGTTTTCATCTACAAAATACATGATAAAACTAAACATACCCAATATCGAGTATAGTAGGTTCATGATTAATTAAAAGGTCTTCGATGGGCGCGGAAAAATTGCTCTGCCAAATATATCTCGTCCAAAAATGTTGTAAATGTAACCTATCAGATTCTTCATCATCAATAGGATAAGGATATTTAACATCCTTATTTAGATCATGAAATCTTCTACCACCAACAAAACGAAAGCCATTTTCATCTGATGTATTTGTTATATTGGAAGATGCGGCTTTGCCGCTACGACCGCATATGCGTAGTTTTGATAAATTACTAACTAGTTGTCCCATGCTAAATGATATGTTGGATGGTCTCTCATACCATCATTATTATTTTTTTTTTTTTGCGTCAAAAAAAAAAGAAAAAAAGATTGATTTTAAATTAAATGTTACTACTTACTATTATATTCTCGGTCATTGAATTTTTCCGAAGGTATTACACTATTATAAACAAAACAAAATTCAAGATACAGCGCCAACGCACATGTGGTTTTTTTCTTTATCCATTATCCACATCATTTTTGTATACGGATTAATAAATTTGGATTTAATCTAGATTTGTTAGCATAAAAAAATTTAACAAATTTCGTGCCTCACCATAACACAGCGGGAACTGTGACTAAGGGGTATTCCCATTTATGTACTAATTTTTTTTTGGGGTAAAAAGATTTGTTATAATAATTGATTTAATGCTTTTTTAAACATATTAAATAAATAAATTAATTTAAATTATATAATTTTTTTTAAAAAATTCTAAAAAAGAATTCCTGCCTTGCATTTGTTTATTATTACGCATTTAGAAATTATTTTCCACTAATAATTATACTTTGCATTATGTAACTCATCTGCAATCATTATTTGGCGCGATAACCATCGCCAATGAAATTTAATAAGTAAGTATGTATATTAACAGGACAGGCGTAAAAAATTAACAAAATTAAAATCTTATTTTTATTTCAGTTACGAAAAATTTCAATATCACAATATCGTAATTTGATAAAAATTCATAATGAAACATTATTGGTTTTAGCTTTTGTTATATTTTGCAAAGATAGTACGTACATAGAACGACTTATTGTCATTTATACAATGATTTCAATTACTTAGTGTTATGATCATTACTAAATTAGCGTTACATAATGTTAAGTTACATAAAGTTTGCTTGTCGTTATTGCAGTATTGAGAATTCGTCAATACAATGCAGTTACACAAATAGATTTCTATCTATCGCTATATATTTGTTATTCGTGCTATACATATGTATGTATGTGCATGTACTAGTGATGTTGTCCAAACTATGTGTTATTAGTATCACATTATGCATTCATTGCATGTAGCACTATTCATCACATGCGTATATATTAAATTCGAATTTTTGCCAAATTCCCCAATTTATTGAATAGATCCCAGATGAGATTCTATAATATAATGATTCCAAATTTTATATTATTGGTATTAATTAATATTTACTTTAATCCTAATATTTTGTCTTTCATTTTATTTATTAAGATTAAATATTTTGAACACAATCTGATCAATTAACCTGATACAGATGTCAAATTTTAAATATAGTTACGTCATATAAAAATTTATAAATTGTAATACAAATATTTGTAATATGTACATTCGTTTGATTCTTTGTATGCAAAAAGTAAGGCGATACAGATTAATTTTTAATCTTATTACCCGCCAAAGTGAAACTCAAAAAAATATTTTTGAAATAATTTGTTTGGTTTTGGAAAAGCATAATAATTGTTATTTTAATTATTTAATAAATATAACTAAACAACAGTATTTATCTAATAAAATATAAATATTTATCTTAATAAAACCTGAAATCATAGTTATAGTATCTGATCAGATAAATTTTTATGTCATTAAAGTTTTTAAACCCATGAAAATTCATAAATTGGATTTAAATATAATAGAACTAGAGGCCCTCTTAATTTAGACTAGTTTCACTTTCCGCCAAGGACTTGGAAAAGTCCGATAATGCAAAACAAAAAATTAACTTTGTGTGGCTTAAAATTAATTAGGGAAATAATAAAAAAACTCCGAAAATTTCTTATTGTTGCTAGTATGCATCAAAATTTTATTGTAGTTAACCAAACTCGAACATAAAAGCAATATTGCGCTGTTTCGAAATTTATATGGACTATATATTACTGTTATTTTATAATAATTTACTTTTTTTAATTTATATTACCATATCTTTCCAAGATGAATGATTTTTGGTAAAACATAGTGTCACAATTTGTGACGTAATCAACATTTTTATTTTAAATAATTCTATTTACTATTCTAGACTCCGTAATACTGTACCCTTGTCAGGTCATTTTGACCCGGTCAAAATAAAATTTCCTACTTTTAGTAGTATTTCCGTATTAACTAATCGAATTTGTCTTACATTTTTTTGCATCTAATCAAATAACAAAGTAAGTTATTTGACCATCATCAAAAGCTCGAGTTATTCTGTTGGTTAGGTTGTCATAACTACCCGGATAATACCGTAATTGGATGCGAAGCAACCAGATAATTGAAATAATATATAGTTATATATATTATTTGGCAGTTACGCCTGCCAAAAAAAACGAATTAATTTTTTTATATTAAAAACAACTGCAAAATAAACACAAGTCATTTTGCAAGCCATGTCATCGTAAGATAATAACATGCAAATTATTTTTGTCCGAGTTAAGTCATTCCATGTGCTGCGTAGCAGCACATGAGTGAAATAAAGAAAAAAATTTGTCAGTTATTTGTCGTACGTATGTTCAATAATGATGTTATCGGATAGTTAATATGACCATGTGAAGTTTTTTCGGTGATGTTTTGCAAAACTGATTACGTAATTTCATGCAAAAAAATATCATGCCAAAAAAATTCACATCATCA